AATCTTGCATAATATTCTTTTATAAAAAATAATTATTGAAAAATCCTCCAATATCTAGGCAAAATCCTAAAAATTATCTTTTTTTAAAGAATATTAGCTTTTTATTTTTTAAAATTATATTTTACCACTTAACATTCATTACCAACTAGTATTATCCATACGATGTAATATAAATGGTGACATAAAAATGACATAATGCTAATATCTAAGTAGGATCTCCAAAATTATTTTCTACTTAGAAATATTATCCTATGTTTTTTTATTTCTAAAATCCTTTTTTAAGAATCATTTTAAAGTCAAAAATTATTTTTAATTATTTTTATTTAAAAATTTATACAATTTTTTTATCAACCTCAATCATCCATAAACAAATTGATTTTCAAGACTAAAATTGCATGTGAAAATAGACAAATAGATAATAAATAAATTAATAAACAAAAATATAAATGAAATTAAAATATACCTTACTTGAATTCCAACCTAAAACCAAGAAATCAACGGCTCAACTTGGAATGGGTTTCAAGGCAATTAGGTTGGGCATGATCGATCTAGGTTGTGGATTAAGAGTTGTAGGTCACAAATTAGGTCAGGTCACCCAACTGCATCATTTTCTTCTCTTCTCTTTTTCTTGCATAGTGCATTTTCCACCACTACACATAACAAGTGTTTGGCTCATTTTCATCTTTTCTTTCAGAAACATTCAATTTCTCTCTAAAATCTTTCTTTCTAAAGAAAATTCAATAACCACCTTTGTTTCTAGATCCAATCAGGCTAACGCCTTTGTTGTTCACCAACATCGAAAACCTTTTAAAACAATTGTTCCATTTCCTATTTCTTTCCTCTTTTTGTTTTTAGCCTTAGTTCTCCCTAATACTTTTTTTAACAACCTAGATCTGAGTTAAAAGGTAAAAAAACTCCTCTCTACCGCTCATTCCCCTTTCTTTTTCTTTTTTTTTTTTTTTAAGAATGCAACATTTTTCCTACCTTTCTAAACCAACCAAAAATTTAATTTGGATTGCTTTTTTTTTTTTTTAACATTTTACTTGACTGGGTTTCTCACTACAATGAGACTGTGGGTTTTTTTTTTTTGAACAAGAAAAAATAAGTAGAAAAAGGATTTTTTGGCTTTTTGGATTTATATTTTTTTTAGGTATGGTGGGTTTTCTGAGCTTCAGTTTTAAAATGTAGATGTGGGTAACTGATAGGGCCATTAGAAAGTGGTTCGGGTTTGGGTTTGCATTTTAGGTTAGAGATGATTATAATGGATGGTGGCCAAAATTGTGATGATGGTTTGTTGTTGTGTCCGTTGATGCTGATGTGGTCTTGGTTAGTTTTTTTTTTTGTTTATTGGTGGTGGCTATAAGCTTTGGGTAAGTATGGATGATATGTGATTGCTTTCATAGTTCAAAAGTGACAGTTGATTCTTATTTGGGTGAAAGGACTAAAGATTTTAGGTTTCAACTGGAATGAGGTAGTAAATGTTATGTTAGTAATGGTGGGTTTGGATGGAGCCAAGAGAGTTAAGAGATTTTGGTTTTGTGAACTTTGTTTCCAAGTGAAATAAAAAAGCTAGAAATTAAGTGAAAATGGTCTCAGGTAGCTAGGAATGATTTGTTTGCTTGTGAAAAATTCCCTTTACAGCTATGTGTCTCCTTTGAATTGGTTTGTGTTTTCTAAGATTTTGTTAAGAGCATAGTTGACAAAATCCCTACTTCATGCTGCCATTAGGATTTAGAAAAGTGAATTGGATTTGAAAAGATGATTGGTGTTTCTATGGTGAACTCAAGTGGCATGCAAGGTGAAAGTAGAGAAAAATGCTAGTATGATATTTTTTAGAGTTACGAGTCTTTTATTAAGTTGACTAAGGGATTAAGTTAAGTAAGGTAATATAAGAGGGGAAAAATGAAAAATTGAAAATGGTAATGATAAGTTAGGAGAAGAAATGATGGCTTTGGGACATGAGAAAATGAGGCTCTTTTTTTTTTTTTTCATGTTTTTAATCTTTATTAACTTTAAAATTAAAAACGACTTTAAGCCTTTATAATTGAATTTGAACTCATATTGAACTTTAGACCTTTAAGCCCACATGATCCAACTTTGAATCAATCTAAATTAAATTGGATTGAACCTGATCCATGCAAAATGACTTAAAATATTTAATCTAAAATAAAATGAAAGGAGTCCAAGGAAATAAATCCAATTAAAATACTTAAATAAACCCAAATTGCAATGTTCAAATCGAACAAATTTGAATTATTTCGGATAAAATTAAATGACTATAGTATCTATATATATGTTACAGATTTTGAAATTATTTTTTATTATCATTGTAAAGATTTAAAGTAGTACCTTAAACCATTTTCATATACTATTTGTTAAATTTTCTAGGATCAGTTTTGATTTTTTTTAAACAATAAGAAATGCATTCATAAAATAGATTTCAACATAGTATGAAATTGCCTATTAACAATCGCACCAAACCTAACTACTTGATGTTTAAAAACTCTATTTTTTTTTATGGTAGGCAATGATATGAAAGACGCTTACAATCATTTCTTTAAAGACATATTTTAGATTCTTTCAATCCCATTAAGTTTTTAGCAAATGACATAATTAATGAAAAACTCTCCTATTCTTTCTACAATTATCCACACCTTATGCATCACTCTCATAAACGATTTTCTCTAAGTTTAGTGACCTAATATGGTGCTTATCAAGTGTTTCATGAGCATAAGTTATTCTACATCTACTTTCAGTTTCCTAACAACTAATGCAACAACCACAAACAATAGCATTTAGGACATACTTTTAATTTACTTCAATTGCGAAATAAGGATATTTGCCAATTGCATCTTTTTTCTTATTGATAAATGAACCATTACTGTTTTAACAAAGATTTTGGTATGGTCAAATAAGTCTAATAACATCACTTCATTGAAGAAACAAAACAAACATCAAAGCATATCAAAATCTAACCAAGCAATTAAAAAACCCAACACAAGTGTAATTATTCACAAATTTAACCTAAAATACTGAACCAACATATCAAAAAATAAAAAAAGATCAATGATTCTTACAAATAGTAATTCTGCAATTAGAGAATAACATAGTTAGACTTTCAAACAATGACTGAATGCCTCGAATTAGGATGAAACAAAAAAAGTTTGGGTTAGATCTCAATTTGGCTTAGAGAATAAAGAAACAATCCTAAAACACAAAAACATCATATATATATATATGAATACAATATGATTATGGTTGTTATAAAGTTCGTCGTCTATTATGATACTATATTAAAACAAGAAAACATAATATATATATATATATATTAATGAATACAATATGATCATGGTTATTATAACAAGTGTCGTCTATTAATATAATAGATTGCGTTTATACATTGTAAATGTCATTCATTTGATACTAGATGATGTTTCATTTATCAAACATCATCTATTTTATAACTACACAACATTTAAACATACGAAATGTTGTTTACTAAACTAAAAATAATTTATCAATTGAAAATAAGTATTATATCAAAGTTTGTAAATAATTACAATATTATTAAAACAATATACATACATTAAATAAAATAAAATTATTTGTAAAAAACTCAATTAAAAATAAACTAAATTAACTAAATTAATTTCTACTTTATATAAAATGATATTTTTTAATGCATGATGCTAGATGTCAAACATTGGGATTTCAAATGTCTCTAAACTTGTAAGATTGAGTATTGGATTATGATATAATTTTTATAATACTAAAGAGTATAATGGACCTTAATTACCAAATATTTAGGGCAAAAGCAGGATAAATGTTGCAATCCACCAAGAGTCTCAAAAAACCCTAAAAAAAGGGTTTTTGATTCTAGGATATTTTATCCTTATTGATATTGTTCAGAATCTTAGAAAATCTTAGAAATCACATTTTGCAAACCAAACAAAAGAATCACTTTATAAAAACTAAGATCCTTAGATAAAATCTTAGATTTCATGAATTAAATGCTCCCGAGAGATTCAGAGAATGACAATTTCCTCGATAAGTCAAACTTTCCAATTAACACATGACATTTATATTTTTAATTAATATAAGGTTTACATGAAAATAAAATTATATTAGTTAGATCTCACGTAATGTCTAAATCAAAAGATTATACATTTTGAAAATTTGAGGAGGATTTGTAGATTTTATTTGTTCAAATTTTGATTTATGCATTTTCTTAAAGTTTGAATACTAAAACTGTAATTAACTCCCAATATACATATATATATATATATATATATATATATATATTGCTGCTTCTGATCTTTATAGAATCAACGTTTAGTTGCAATACAGGAATGCCAAATAAATTTTTTGAAATTTCCCGGTTCTCTTATTACAAGATCGCATTGAAGGTGGACCAAGTTGCCATAATGTTCATTGGATATTACACGCACCTCAAAAGCCCCACATGCCCAAGGAAACAATGAAACCATCGACTCTGCATCTCCCATTTCTCACTTCAATCGTCTTTGTCATTGGCATAATAGTACTATAATTTGGAAACTGTTCTTGCAATATTATGTTATCGCAACGATGAATGATCTTATACAAACAATAATTCAAACAAAATTTAGATAGTTGAGATGGTTAATACATGACCAAGAACAATAATCTGTCGTTTTTCCTTCAAAGAAACGTGATTGTCTCGTCATTTCATCTGCTTCTTTTGTTTCTCACTGGAATTTCCTTTTAGGTGTTTCTCTTTAAAGATTTTCTCACTTCATACTGGTGTTTTCTGTGTAAATTGCTGGGGAGAAACCAAATCTCTTGATGTGGCAGAGATTTTCAAAGGTGGTTTAAATTATATATATTTCGTGTTTGATGTGTACACACGATAATATTAATATTTTACACGTATTAAATACAAAATAAAAATATAGATATACGAATTATCAAATCTACTAAAAGTAACATAGAATATTAAGTTCTTACCACTCTTTCCGCGCTCTCAATAGTAGGATAATATTATTTGTTCCAGACTTACAGTTTCAATTTCCTCTGAAACTAGTGGCTCTGACCAAGTTCAGTCATGCTCACAAATATGACTGAAATAGTTAGGATGAATATTAACAAATAAAAACTACCCACCCATAACTATCATGCTCTTTTCCAGAAGTGAAGTTTCACATTATGATGATTGGTAGACAATGTTTAGCATCCAAATTGTTTGCAATAAAATACAGGAGATTTGGCAATGCGGAGTTTGAATTGTTCATATCATCAAATCTTGGGTTGATTGATGTCAACATATATTCAACTAAAAGAAAAGTAAGTTACCGTGCCATGTTGTTGCTAGAAAATCATATTAAACCAGTGAGAAATCTTCCGCATATCAACTTCTTGTTATCCTGTTGACCACAATGTGCTCTCATACCTGCTTTCTGCCCTATCAAAAATAGTAACACAATTCTTATGTTCTCATGCATAAACAAACAACCAAATTAACAAAAATGTAAATAAATAATGAAAAAAATAAACTAATTTCAGGGTACATCGACTAGATTACAATCAACTACACAGATGACTTGTTCAACCTCTGCATCTTGATTGTAGGTCAAGTTTAAGATGTTCGAGTTAACTCCTCTGGTACGTTGGCACAGTCATACAAACACATACCATCCATTATATCTAACAATTTATCAATAGTTATCAAATGAATATTCATGTAAAGCTGCGTTTCTAGGCATGATTAAAGTTTCTGAAGCAAAGAACTTGCCAGTGCCTACAAAGAAATCTGCTGCTAAGAAGAATTTGAAGTCCTGAAGTAGGATTTCTGCTTTCTTTCCCAAGTTTTCTTTTCCTATTTGGCTATTTCATTGTGCATTTTATAGTTTTAAGCAGCAGATTGCAGACAGGAAGGGCCACTCTTTTGCATCTTCAGATGTCAGTAAAGACTTCACTGCAGAAAAAAAAATCTCACCTTACCCAATTTAACATGTTACTTCTCATACTGCTGAGGTTTTTTACACAATTCCATCTTGATTCTAGGTCATATGAATAAAAGGGTGACTCAGCATACAAGACTCCCATATTGCATGATCTGATGTAACCCCTCCTTTGCAGAGAGGCTGTTTCAACTACTTGAATCCATTGTTATCCAGTCACAATGGACCACGAATTTTAAAAAGCTGGGGTTTAGCCTTAACTCTACGCTCTTAAGCATATTTTAAGTCTTTGAGATATTGTCCCACAGATCAGACAAAAAGATGATCATGTCAGGTGTGTTCCCAATGGGACTAGTTTCAGTTTCAAATTAACAGACTCATATGGTACCGGTTAGTGATAACATGGTTTCCTGGAGTTTACTTGCCCCTTGGTATGAAGTTCCATGGTACCAAAAAGTTTGAAATTTAATATGTTATCTGACATGCTTTCATTGGCCTATTTAGTGGGTGAGGTTGCTGCCAAAATATTGATTCAAGGTGCATCAGGAAATAGAGGAAATCTAAAGATTTTAAAACTAGATCACCATTGTGACAAAACAGAGCACTAAAATCGTTCAGGTTCAGCTGCTAGTACAATCTACTTATTCCAGTTTCAGTCCAAAACAAACCTTTAGGCCTAAATTTCCCTTTCCTTTCTTTTATTTTTTTACCCTTAAGAAGGCCCTCCATAAATAAAATAAAATCCAATAACCATTTCAACCTCTAACAAGTTGAAAAGAAATGCAATCTATCATGCTACGTGCTAAAAATGATCTTGTGCCAACTTTAACCAGACACACCAGCATAAAGCAGGACTGAAGATCTAGTTTCCTCCATATTAAATGCAGTGAATTACTAGATCGATCAAAGACATTACAAGGTAACAGGAAAACGGAAATTTCTTTCTCAGAAACCTGAAATTACTTACAGGTAGATATAATAAAGCTCTGAACAAGTAGCTTTGTATACTTGCCTGTTGTGTTGTGTTACCAAAATGAGGTAGAGTGGATCTTGCCAAGTGAGCTGCAAGAGCTCTTTGACAATGTAGGCACATGTAGTAATGCTGAAAAGTTGGAGAAAGAAAATATTAATACCTTTGGCCAAAAACCAAAAGAGAAATATCAGTACAAATTTGGAAGATGATGGTGCAAAATATCTAGCTTGCACTCTAAGCTGTTAAGATGAAAGCATGCACAGAAATAAAGATTTTCTCTCAAAACTTGATCGTAATATAATCTTTACTTTCTTATATGATTGCTACCCTCTTGTATTTTCATTACAACAAATGATCCCTTACTCCATCAAATCTTCATGAAAAGGATATTAAGCATGATTCTATAGCACCAAACATCTGTTGTCTTTCAAAATTTACAAACCAGCTAGGAATTTGTCATTGCCAATGGAAAAGCATGTGTTTGGTTTCCCTTTTTTATCTTTAAATTTTTGTCTTTCCATTATATTGAACCTCATTTTAGTTTTAAAGTTTTGACATAAATTAGTTGCGACTCTTGAAAGAATGACCCTCCACCCATTCTCAGAAGTTATCATCTTGAAAAGTGGAACTGTATTTGAAAAATGAGATAAGGAGTTTCAACCAAAAGTTAAATATTGAAATGAAATATGTTTATAACAGAAGGAAAACATATTGCACAAATAGAATCAAAGAAAAATAAATACAGTTGAATACTATATGCCAAAAATCTTGATATGTTCCTTATCTTTTTTTTTTACTTTTTAAATTTCCCATTTAAAATAAAGTGAAACATTGCTTCAATTATAGGACATTAAAGCCTTAATTCAGTTTTAGCTTGTACTAAAAGGTGGGAAAGAGAGGAAAGCACACCTGCCAAAACATATCAGTAGGACTATCCAAAAGAATGCACTAACCCAATTTGATTCTTTGTAGGCAACCCAGACCTGGAATGTATTTACCAAGGGAAACATTAATATTATCAACAACTCAAAATGAAGGACAAAAATAATTAACTGAAACAGTATTTCCCAACTGCTATTAAGGAATGTGATGACAACCAGAATTATTGTAAAATTTAGTATCTCAAAGGATCATAAAAGGAAATTCTATAAATATAATTTTTTGACCTTTTTAGTTGTATGATGTGATACTTCAAGTACCTAATTTTCGTGTGAAATGAAGTGGAGACATGGTCCAAGACTACAAGTTATAAATAAAAATCCTCAGTTGGATTCCTTTTTCTATCTCAGAAAAGCAAAAGCGAAACTCAAATGTGGACAACAATATAGTCTTTTTAACACTTCAGATACATACTTTGCATAAGTTAAATTTTATGATCTCAAGCTATCATGAAAAACAAGTTTGTTCATTATGTATTCTAGAAATGATCGCATTCTAAAATTTAATCTAGCACCAATAACTAGTCAACAACAAAGACTTAAGTTCATATGTTATCATTTAAAACATACCGACAGAGCCACAACATTTATATAGAAGTCAATCAATGTAGCTGTCATCCACCTGCAAATAATTTAGTAATTTGTTAGACTTTGCTAACAGATAAGCAACCCATGTAAAGGGAAAAGCGACTGCAATGCACAGATGTGCAAAGTGATCCTGCCCAAAGCAGACATTGCACACACATTGTGTGCTTCAGTGTCAGCAATAAGGAATTTCTCCATCTGTTTAGAATTGCACCATCAATGACCGGAAAGAATTATTAAGGCTTCCATGATGAAGAAGAAACCATAAACAGGATAGATACATGATATAGCAACAGTGAGAAAATAAAAATGCATGTGTTCTCCAGTTTAAGTGTTTAAAACTTTAAATAATAAGGATTGTCAAGCCTTTTTACATATTGTTCCCCTACAGTCTCCAGTGATTTTTACAAACCTTGGAGATATAATAATCGATGGAATCATGTCACAAATAGTTACAATTACTATTTATCTTACCTATGCATTCAGTTTCACGGTACTAGTTAGCCAATAACATGAATTTAAAACCATTATTTATTTATTTATTTATTTATTTCTTTGTTTGCAGAAACATGGCTGAGAAATGATCGAACAGCATTTATTCTAAACAAATAGGATGCCTAGTCTACTGCCACCCCTCCCCGCCCCCCTCCCCAGTGGTCTCCTAAAAAAGACAAGAAGAAGACTAGAATCACCTCTAGATTAATAAATTCTTTTATTTGATTTCATTAACTGAAAAAGAGAAGCCTTCCTATTGAAACCATTGAATGAGGAAACATAATTTGGCTATCTCGTCCATGTTCGCTACAAAGATCAGCTTTTAAGGTTAATATTCGAAATCTATGAACAGCATTTATATCTCTAAAAAAATGTGGTTTCAACTTATGGCAATGTAGAGAAAAGTGACACCTAATTCAAAGAATGTAACTTAGCTTTGAATGCTTCAAACAGCACCAGGCTAATACACAAACAGTGTTTTCCAAGCCATGATAGGAGGGCAAGCATGCGAAGGGTAGAGTTCAGTAGAATGCCTTTTTAAGTTTTCAGTGTCAATACATCCAACATCAAACTAATTGGCAATATGTGGAGAGAATTGAAGGCAGCAAAAGCTGCAGGTGAGGCCTATGTCTACATTGTGGGATACATAGTTTAATATTTCCCTTAACATTCAAGGTAGGAAATATTGCAGTGATTGGATGCACGGTGATCACAGTGGAACACCATAGGCTAGGTTGGAGTTGACTGATAAAATATCTGAAGCATCCAGTATTACACGATATATTCACACTGAGTTTCTCCATAAATTGCCAATTGATTTGTAAGCTAGAGTGTTGAAATTGCTACTCGCTCAACCTGGCCTACCATGTTTCATCATGACTATGGTTTTTACATACAAGACCTTCACTCTGTGGAGAGGATGTTCATATATAGAAATGAAAAGCAGAGTAAAATAAAAAAGAAGCTAATGCAAAGGAAAAAAGCACTGATTAGCCCTTACATGTCTCAAATATTCATATCATTCAAGGAATCAATCTTAAAAGATGGGGTTGCAAGAGCTACAAAGAATATAGCATCCACTCAAAGAAAGCATAAGGACCTCACTGTCTAGTCTGTGCAACGTATATGATTGGATTTTCTTCAAAAAATGATAATTTTTTTTTGATACATTACTCCAAACTTCAAGGAGCAAAATTGCTCATCAGAAAAAAAGAAAGAAAAAAAAACTTACGGAGTTAGGAGCTCTTTTCGGAAAGGTGAACCATCAGTTAAGAGAGTGTAGATCAAAGTTCCCAGCATCAAGAAGCCCAAAACACTGAAGAGGATTCTTGCAATCACAACAGGGGAATGCTTCCTCTTTGGCTTTGTAGCATCCCTGGACGAAGAGAATTTTCAATTTATAAATGATAAATTAATATATGAAAAGTAGATAGATACTTAAACTTCTATTTTTAGCCAACAGCCAGAAATATTTGCAGTGGTCACATATTCCCTCCTTTAATTCATGAATTCTGTATACGCTAACTGAAAAGTGTCATTATTAAGATAGAGATTCAATGGAAAATAGAACTGGTGTGCCATTCCTATTCATCAAACTAGATGCCATTATATGAAGATTCTCATTATGTGAACATAATGAGATGACGAATGGTGCGACATTTATGTAATTTTAAAAGCATAAAACCTCATATTGGCCCACCCATGCCAAATATGTTCATCCAGAAATAAAAAAAAATCCTGTCTAACCTAGTACAATCAATAATTTGAAAAGGTTAATTTAGACTAAATGCAAAGGGCACATTAACATGTTATTGGAGACTTGAAAGATAATTTTCTAATATTATACCTAGAGATTTGGATACTTACATGTTTGTATGGCGCAATAAAACCTGATAAATGGGATCTTGCAAAGATTCTTGAGGAGACAACTTGAGAAATTGTATAAAAAGGTAGCCAGATGTCGTAATGCTGGGGAAAGAGAAAGGTTTAAAAATCGAATTGTAAATCATAAATTATGGGAATGGTAGAGAAATATAATATGCAGATTGCATCAATACTCAATAAAGCAAGGGCAGAAATGAATAATGATGTAATGATCACCAAACCAGCCTGTCTCAAACTTTGCCAGCAAAACCCATTAATAAAGTAGGGGGAATGTTCGCCTTAGATTTCACGATGGTGTTATTAGGATACTTCGTCATGTAAGGTATGTATCAAGTTGTCACTACAATTTGATTGCTTTGGGTGAGTTAGCTTCTCGGGGGTACACATATTATGATAGTAATGATTGGTTAAAAGTGTACAAGAATGGTAGTGTGATTCTACAAGGGAATAGGGTCAATAATCATTTGTATATGTTTGATGGAGGCTCAGTTGCTAGATGCCTGTGATGAAAGAAAAGAAGAAAGGTAAGCGTGTTAGCTTTGCAGATACTGTTGAAGTGTTTGGAGATTCAAGTCAAGGGAGGATTTGTTGGGATTTGCCTTGAATCTCAGAATCCCACATCGAAAGTTAAGTGAGTTTGAGTTTGTCTTGTATTCCACATTAGGAGTTTAGTAAAGGTATAAAGGGTTTCGCCCTTATAAATAAGATGTTTTGGTTTTAATTTGGTAATCCCAGAGAGTCAGACACCAAGAGAATAGCTAAGTGAGTAGGCTATTAAAGGGTGTAATTGGGTTTTGGGTTAAGTTTTGAGTAAGGAGTTTTAGGAGATTTTTCTCATTCTAAAAGTCTCACAATTGTAAAGATTTATTTGATAGTGGATTAGGTTTGGAGTAGGCCATTTTGAGTTGGGCCGAACCAAATATATTTGTGTGTTTTTATTCTTGATTTGAGCTTGTTATTTTATTTTATGTGTGATTGCTGCGCGTGGGTGTTGTTTTTCCCAACAATATGCTCCTTGTTAAACAACATATGAACTATACTGCAGTTTAACATTTAGATAGAAAGACAGAGACATACCTGCCAAAACATATAAGCAGAATTACCCAAAGTGTTGCACTAATCCAACTTGATTCTTTGTAGGAAACCCAAACCTGATGGATTATAAAACTCCATAAAGAAAAACAAATTTTTTTCTCTTCAATAGAAAATTAAAACCAATTTTCTCCCTTTTTTTTTTTTTTTTCAAGAACAGAACTATAATCAATTTTCTTTCTCTACCAACAAAACGGTTTACTAACTTACTGTTAATATAAACCATACAGTTAAAATATACAAATGCAGAAGCAACAAAGTTTTTACATACATAGGAAATCATCCCTTAAAAACATTTGACTTGCAAAATCCTCGGACACATACAATAGGGTACTAGGTTGATGATAATATGAAAAAATAGTACCTATTTGAATTTCTCCCTCAAAGTTATCAAAGTTTCACCAATGAACACAATGTTAACTACCCGTATCTTACAATTGATCATTCCCACACCAAAAAGACAAAAGCCAACTATTAACCATTGATTTTCTTTGCAGTTAAAAAGAAAAAAAAAAGTTTCCAAGGAATGTGTGCGTGTGTGTGTCTTTATATATATATATATATATATATATACACACACACACACGCCCCAAAGTTGATGTTAAATGCTTACTTAATTTAAGAAATTTCAATTCAACACTCAAGAACTGTTCTAAGTTATTGAAAAGTTGAAGTAGATAGTGAACATACCGCCAAAGGCACAATATTGATGTAGAAATCAACCAAAGTTGCAATCATCCACCTAGAGATCATTAATGCATAAAAAAGGAACCCAGTAATCTTTCGTGATAATCAAAACCCAGAAATCCTCAAGTGTATAAAAACAATACAAAGTTCAAAAAAAAAAAAGAAAAAAAAAAAGGAAGCAACCAAGAAAGAAAGAGAGTACGGTGTAAGAAGTTCCATGCGGAAAGGGAGGCCATCAATGGAGATGGTGTAAATGAGAGTGGCTACCATCAAACAGCATAATACTAAGAAAAGAGCTCGTAAGCCATTCACTAACAGAGAACCCACCATTGCTATTTCCTTTCTCATCAAATTGTTTTACAAGTAATGTTGAGAGGAATCAAATGAAAATAGGAGGATAAAATATGGCGAGGATGAGAGCACGTCATCAACGACTTTGGGCCAGCCAACAAACCGCCATCTAACTTATTTGAGGGTTAAATACAAAAATGGCCATGTACCGGCAGTTCAGTAGTTAAAAAAATGAAATTTACGATCTGATACGAAAGTTTTATTTTGTTTTTTATACTTAGATTAATATTATTAATCAAGTTATTGATATGATATAAATATTCAAAAAATCATTATACATGTCAAAAATACCAAGCTATTACTATATCATTATTGTCACATCATCATTAAAAAAATTTTTTTTTTTTTAATTTTTTAAAAAAATTTAGATTTTTTAAAAATCTTTTGAAATTTTATTTTAATTTTTCAATTTTTTGAGATTTTTAAATTTTTTTATTTTTCTTTAAATTGTTTTGAATTTTTTAAAATTTTTAATTTTCTTTTAATTTTTTTAAAAAACTTTAGATTTTTAAAAATTTTTTAAACTAACATTGCAATGATAACACTACAATTACTAAACGTTTTTAACACAGGATTAAGATTTTAGTAAGTATTGATGTCACATCAATAATTTAACTAATGATATTAATCTTAAACATAAAGTGTATTAGAGAATGAAAGTTTAGATATTTAATTATGAAATATATTTTTTAAAATATTAAATTGATAAAAAATATATAATATATGGGTAAATTTTATATTTAACCTTGAGTTTTGTTTACTGATTTTTTGAATTATATTTGATGTATAAATTGTCATTTAAATTACATATTGTTATTATCATTAATGAATAAATTTTAAAAAGAAAAACTGAAAGTACTAAGATATAAATAATAAAAATTAATTTTATTTTAAGGCCTTTTTAACTTGCTAGTTTATTTATTGATTATATAACAACATAAAATTCAATGATAGTATATAGAATTTATATATTATTAATCTATCAAACATAAACTTTTTTTTCAAGATTTTACTTTAGATAAATTTGATTTTTTATTTTTTAAAATTTGATAATTTTAAATATAATAAAAAATAAAAAAGAACAAAAAAGACACAAACATATATAATTTAAAATTTTAGTGAAAATATATGTAAATTTAGAAAAATAAAAAAATGTGTTCATATTTAACATATCAATATAAATTATGATATGATAATTTTTAAATTTTATGTGTATTTGACATAAAATAAATATGACTTATATACATAAATTGTGAAATCTTAAAAATTCCAATAACATAAGGATTAAAACAAATTTTTTTAATAATTTTCTTATCTACTTTTAAAATATAAAATAATATTTTTTATTTATTTGTTCATCATTGCATGCCATATCGGTATTAATTGCTTAACTGATCACCTATTATTATGTTACTATAATTTGATAGGTCATAGTTGAGTGTTTGAGTTGTACGATATCATTTAGATATATATTGCCAAAAATTATGAAACATTACATTCGTAAAAAAAATATAAAATAAAATGTTGTATTCACGTTATAAAAAAAAAATTTTTTAAATTAAATTCCGTAAAATTAAAAAAAAAAAATTGGAAAAGAGTAAGGATACAAATAATCTTTTCAAGTTTTGTGATTTACAAGTTATAAAAAGCATAAAGGAAATCGTAGATATGAATGAACCAAAATTATTAAAAGATACATTGTTTTATGTATATATAAACCGCAATTGGGGAAGATAAAATAAATTTTAAATCTTGAACTAATTGAATGCCACTTCCTCAATTACATGAACTACATGGTTTAAACTCTAAATTCAATCATAGTTATTAATAGAAGCAATTGATGTACGTTCAGTTTTTTAGGTCTTCCAAATTGTCAAATCCTTTATCTTGTTATTTCAATGCTGATAATGATATATTGATTATATTTAATGCATAAGATAATGAATAAAATAAAATTATAATTATTTTATATTATATTTGATTTATATATCAAGAAAAAGATAAAATTATAAAAAAAATTAATTATTCTCTTAATATAAAATTATTCAATTCTCTTGAAATGAAAAAAAATTATTTTTAATTCATAAACTTACATTTTTTATTATGCCTTCAAAAATTATATTAATAATTTAAATTATATAAAATTTGAAAAAAATTAATTTTGACCAATAAATAAATTATTTTATTATAATCTTTGCACAGATCGAACATAAAATAAGATAATATTATTTAATTTAATTCTATTTGTAATATCATTTTATCTTATCATAAGTTGATGTACCAAATACATCCATAGACTCTTTTTTCTTAATATGCATTTCATGTTATATATAATAGAGGTTACTACGAATTGATATCCTAAATCTGATTGTGAAAAAAATCCTCATATCTGGTATTGCAAAAATATAACAATAATATTATAACTACTGCTACTTAGTATGTGGAAACCCTTCTTCTTTTGTTTGGGTGAAAAGCAAATATATATATATATATATATATATATATATCCATTACTTACACCTTGCTTTAATCCAAACCTCTAGTGTAAATGAACCTTGGTTTTATGAATCAAAAAAGCTAAGATATATATATAGATATATATATATATATATCCATTACTTACACCTTGCTTTAATCCAAACCTCTGGTGTAAATGAACCTTCGTTTTATGAATCAAAAAAGCTAAGCAAAGTAGAAAACATCCATTCAAACCAAAGTAATATATCAGCCAATGAAGGAAAAGGAAAAAGGAGAGACAGAAGAAGCATGGCAAAGGCAAAGGTATGATAAGAACCATCTTCATGAATCAAATATCCATTAAAACATGAATAATCATCTCTTGGGCGCAAGCTAATCCAAATATTATCATTACAACATACATCCCTCATTTAAAACTCAAAGCAAAGTAGCAATTCTACAAATTTTGACTCTTAAAGTTCATCTCTACTCCACCCCCCCCCCCAAAAAAAAAAAAAACCAACAGCAAATAATGCTTAGATCAAGGGAGTTTAGAATACAATGTATACAAAAAATGGAAATCAATGATAGGAACCAGAAAAAATGGAAGCATAGGGCAACCAAGAATAAAGAGAGTTTGCCTTGTAATCAACATGCACAACCACCTTTTTGCTCAGTCTCAGTCACAGACTCTGGGATGCCCTGGAAATATCTGCAATCATACGCATGGATATCAGTTGAAGAAAACAAATTATGAACTGCATAGCCTGGTCAACAATCTTAAAAAATTTAAAACATCTATGCACAGAAAAAGTACACAGACACTGAATATTTTTAAAGGCGAAAGTGGAAGAAGAAACAGTTTTAATGTAATTACAAGTGAAACAAAATTGCCCTGAGAGAGAGTGACAGAAAAGAATCCCATGATCGAATTTTAAATATAATGATTATCTATCAACAACAGAAATATGAAAATCTATTACCTACTGAATGCTAAATTAGTAAATTTTCTTCTATATCAATTACACAAGAACATACCAATGAGTTATCAAATATGTAGAAAAAAGAAAAAAAAAAAAAGCAAAAGCAAAAGAAAGCAATGACAGCATCTAAAACTCAGAAAAGAAACATTGCAGCCCATATTAAGCATGGTAGAAGAGCACCATGGAATGCAAGCATACGCACATCCACACACACAATCAAATAATAAAGAAAACTATAACAGAAGAAATAGGTTGTGAGTAAGAAGTAAGAACTATGATCATAATTATAAGATCTAGACGGCTGTAACAATAAGCCATTTCTAATTGAATAAGGAGAACTTTTTGGTAATAAAGAAATCGGCCATATGATAAAAGACATATTCTTTGAACCAACATCATAAGTTTTAACCTTGACTAAGAAAGTACACCTTATCATGATTCTTATGAAACTATTTGCTTCCAAATTTTATTTCTTGTAATTTCCAGTGGTCACTTAGAATTGTTTCAGGTCAGCACACCCATTGATCTGTCTAGATGGACCTTACCATTTATTACATAGTCTACTACATCTTTCCTAAGCACAAAAGTATGATTGATCTACTTAAGAGCTAGGATTATGGTAGCATATTTCCACTATATATTATTGAACCAATGTCCAAATGAGCAACTCAGTAAAGTTAGTAAATATAGGTCTACCTGAGGTATATTATACCTTTTATATTGTTTTCATTAAGAAATATATAAATTTGTCACTTCCACACAATGAATTTGATATGACAGGGCAGATCAATTAGCATTCCAAAGAGAATTTAAAGGTGACAGACACCCTTAATGTAGTCCAACTATACTCTAACAGGTCACAATGGAATGTTGGAGAAAACCTCTGTTTTCCCATCTATTAACTATATAATGTCCCAAAAACATATGCTAAAGATCACAGCTGCGGAATAAAAATGCAAGAGATAATGATAATCTCTAAGGTAGTGTTTAATATGGGGAGATCACTCCAAAAACCATGGTGATCTAAACATGATGAGTTGGTAAGCAGTTAGTGATCTTACGTGGCAATGATTTTGGATCACCGAGTGATTAGATCACTAACTTGGAAGATGATCTAATTCCCATCCAAAAATATAGAAAACTTTTATCATCAAAGTGAAGTGATATAAAAAATTAACAATAATCAATATTACCCATTTAATATGTTAATTAAAAACTTGTTTCTTTTTTAAATTGTAATTATTTTATATTATAATTTTTATATTTTCAAATTAATGTTCATAACAAGTTAAAAAATATTTTTTTTACTTTTTTTAATGTTTTATATCTAATATAATTTTTTTAATTATGGCTTTAATAGATTATTTTTATTTTCTAATTCAAATGTTTTTTACATAATTTATATTATAAAAATTTGTTTACCTAATAAATAAATATACTTATTAATTTAATAATTTAATCATATTTTATTATAAAATAAACAAAATATTATTATATTTTACAAATTATTCTTTTTATCAATATTAAAATCATTAACTTGTGTAACTATTACAATAGGTATGGTTATTTTCGTACTTTTAAATAAAATAAAATTTAATTTTTAGTAATGCCAAATATAATAATATTTAATTCCTATGAATAAATTATTGTTAACCAAACAAAATGATTCCAAATCACGAGTAATAAGATCACCTTCCTAATAAGATTACCTCGGTGATTACATTACCATAGTGATCTTGAAAATAATACCAAACACTACCTAAATTTGCAGTACTTGACAAAACCATGCTCCTTTATGGGCCAACAACACCATGCTGGAACAATAATAATATATATTTGCCAAAATTCACTCCAAACAGGGAATAGGCTTTAAGATAAGCTTACATGTCCTGCTCGCGCTCTTTTGCTAAAGCAGTTTTGGCAATACATAGGAAGGCAGCATCAACATTGATATCTTCTTTTGCTGATGTTTCAAAGTAAGGTATGTTTCCTTTTGAAGCACACCAATCTTTTGCTTTCTTCTCGGAGACCTACATGGCTCAAGACAGCACCTATGAGGCTGAGGTCTGAGGATAAAAGAAAATTAGGACGTATAGCAACAACATATCCTTACCACTCGACTATTACCACCATCTATATCTATCTTGTTTCCAAGCAATATAAACGGAAACGTCCTGGGGTCAGTGGGATTTGCCTGGCATGGAAAGAAAATGCAAACCATATCGACATTTGAAACAGATGGTAATCACTTTCTCAAATAAATTAATATATAGTTTAGATGAATGAAAAACATAAACATAAAAAGAGTAATCAACCTCAGAAATTAAATTGGCTGCTAGGAAAGATCATGCACGTTGCAAGGTCAGTAGGTCAAGTTAAGCACTGAACTGTGGGGTCAGCAACAAATGTTTTATCCAATTTCTAACTAGCTGGGCTTTAACATGATACAACTAGGAATCAAAAAGAGAAATTTCATATTCCCATGAGAATCAGCATTCATTGAAGGTGTTGTTACATGTTTACCTACATAATCTTTTTGATATGTTTATTTAAACCTATACTGCTTTTAAAAACCTGCTGACTAGTTGACTAAGCAAAGGAATGTTGGGAAAATAGGCATTGATGGCCAAAAGAACAGTATAATGGCAACAAACAAGATCAAATCAGAAAATCAGTATGCACGTTTCAGTTTATATCACTCACTCCAGTGGCCAGAGGCAATTCTCCAACAAAAGATTGGGTAAGAAATTTAGAAATTCTATATTTTTCTGTTCACAAAGTGTAAAAATTAATAAACTTGAAATAAACCGTAATGCAGACGAATCGACCAGGCAAAAGATAAAACCAGTTATGACATGATGAGTGAGACCAAAACATAGAAAAAAGAGAGTGATCCAAAAAATTTATGAGCCCAAACCAAAGTCCGACAAAACAGGGTTGAATAATGTATTTGAACTTATGCAACAGTTAGTAATTCCAAAGTCAATATAAGCAAGAATTTGAAAGCACACACTCCTAAAAAGAAGCATCCCATGTGTTTCTTCTTCCATTTGGCACAGAAAGGAAAAAGCTTTTGATCAAAGGTCAATCAACAAAACACCAACTTGCAAAAAAATTTACTTCTTGTCAGGTGTGCTTCAAAAAAGTAACCACTATTTTTTCTCGGAAACAATTTATCAAAAAAAATTTCCTTCTTTGTAACATATTGGTTAGCAAAAATGTCATTGGGAAAGTTTACTAGAGCAGCTTCGACCTTTAAGCGTATTAACAAGCCATGCCTCTGCACAAGCTTAAAGATGTAAAGAAAATATAGGTGAAAATAAGGAGAAATTTCTTGGATTCTCATTTTTCCTTGACTCTCAAGATATATATGACTAAACAGCAGCAATTATCTCAGACTTCAGCCTTCCACTAGTCTAGAGTAAATAAATTAAGTAGGCTACAGATAATGTTAGCACATAAAATTAAAGAAGTTATGCGGTTATGCCCATAAAGAAAATGAATGAATTAAAACTCAAAATCAACTCAAACATTATTAGAGTTTCAAATAAACAAAAATTTAGTAGACAGTGATGTGTGTGTGCATCGGTGTGAATGTTGCACGTGTATGCCAGGGAGACAGAGAAATGGAGAGAAGCCCTACAAGAAATTAACAAATAAAGAAACAAAGTTTTTGATAACTTATAAATAACTTGCAGCGATGCAGGACAAATTCCACATTCAGCAAGGTTGGAAAAGTTAACTTTTAATTGTATTCCACATTCAGCAAGTTTGGAAAAGTTAACTTTTAATTGTAGACAAAGCCAAAATACATAATGCATTGCTAGCCAACATCCCTTGACTAAAAAAATATATCCCTAGTACCAGGTTTATCATGTCAGGGGTAATAAAAGCAGTACAAGCCAATAAACCTAAAACACTGCACATTCTTCTCAACACTCTTATAACCAACATTGATATTATAGATGCGTAACACAACTTAAAGTAAAAATGCCATTCATTTCGACATGCAGAACCTAATTCGCTGAGGAACTAAAACCAACAAGTAAAATGAAAGAATAGAGATTGAAGCAAAAACAAACCTGTTTAAGAAATTCCTCATGCCAATTATCAAGGCTATCAAATGATTTCATCACATTAACGTCGTAAACTAGCACACAGCAATCTGCACCCCTATAAAAGGCAACTCCGAGACTCTGAAACCTCTCCTGACCCGCAGTATCCCATATCTATCCAATGCAATGCCCAGAGAGAAAATATGCATAAACATACCCTCCATGACAACTTCAAAATTAAGCTAAAAAGAAAATCTAAATACCCAAAAATTTGAAAATAAAATTAAAACCCTACTTGCAGAGTGACAAGGCGATCATCAATCAGGAGTTCCTTAGTGACAAAATCTGCACCAATTGTAGCCTTATATTGCTGACTAAACTTCTTATGAACATATCTAAATTCAACCAGTTAATTCTGACAACAATGTAACTTATAAAATCGACCTTTAAATAAATAAACAAAAAAATTTTGAGATTATTCAGACAAAAATTAACAACCCTAAAATCAACGTAACCCATAATACAAAATTTAAGATCTAAAAATTATACCCCAAAAAAGAGCAGAAATTTTACACAAAAATAGAATGATAAGAAGATTAAAATTCAATTACTGTTGAAAGGATACTGATTCATCAACGACGTCTTGCCCACCCTGACATCGACAATAACCCATTAATTATGCAAATAATTAAAATTTTCCAAAAAATTCATAATTTAGTTGTAAAAAGAAACAGCCCTAGAAATTGAAATTGAGACGAACGTACCCACTATCGCCGAGAACAATGACCTTGAGCAATGTTCGTCTTCGCATTGACATGGCGGTAAAATTAACGGCAAATTTTAGGTTTTGGTTTGATTTAAGTTTTTTTTTTTTTTAAACAAAATCTTGATTATTATTACACCCTTCAATTCATTTTTTTCTAAATTTTTTTGGGTGCTTTAATAGTACTGTAGATATGGATTTACTCGATACATTTGGAAAATGATGGGAAAGAAACTCCTTTTCCCTTCTTTCTTCTTTGTTTTTCTGCACTGTCTTTTTTATTCTAAAAAAAGGACACAAATATTATTTTTTTGGGCAAAAGAGAGAAAAGAAACGGCAATTTCCATTTTTTTCACACTATTTTCTTCTTCTATTTTCTTTTATAGCTTGAAAATAAAAATACATTCATTAAAATTCGAAACTTAAATTTATAAATATATCACTTATAAAATGATTAAATTAATCAATTAAATTAAATTTTAAATTTTACTACTTATTTTTGTAAACCTATTATTTTAATTAATTAAAATCTTATATAAATATATAAAAGTTAAAAACTTTGATAAAAAAAGAAAAAATCCAAGATATATGGTCTATTCCTTTAACATTTAAATAATCTTAAACAATCGTCACATGTCTTATATTTAATTTGTTTTATTTGATTTTTTATAAATTTTGAAATGTTTTATATAATAAATTATATTTAATTACTTACCTTATATATATATTTATATATATATTTATGTGTATATGTGTATATTATACTTTTACAAGTAAGAATTACTCTCGAAACTATGTTTTAAGGTAATCTTTTTATATTTAAATTATATATCTGTAAATTAATATAAATTATTTAACTTCGCATTGAAAGACTAAATATATTAGGGAAGACTTTATTTTACTTATCTTTTACTTTTGAAACTATCTTTTACATTGGAACCATATAAATTCAAATTTTAAAAGTAAATATAATTCAAATAGAAAATAATAACTAACAATAATTCAAATAGATAGGGTTATACAAATATTTCATTTAATTGTCAATCAAAAATTATTATACAATTTATATTATAAATCTTTCTTTTCCTTTTAAGATAAATACGTTAAATATTCATATTTTAAAACTTATTATTATGTCCTTTATTAATCACTGTTATAAATAAATAACTCAACCCTCAATAATTTTCAGAATATGTTATAGTTTTTCTAGCATTTAGAGTTTTTTTTTTTTTTGTATTTGTATTTGTATTTTTTAAAATTTTTTTGAGTAATTATAATTCTCATAGAATGAAAAAAGTTAACATGTTGTCACATTTTTACATGATTCAGATTTATTGTTTATCTTTTTATATCACTTCACTATATTTCTTTACTAATTATTTTAGACAATGCACTTACATATATTTTTTATAAACAAATCTAGCAAGAACCACCCTTATTTCTATCTTATCGTAGCCATAAAAAATATTGGAGATGAAGTTGTGATACATTTCCAGGCTGCAAAACTTTGTAGCAGATTAGATGTCTAAGTGTTGTGTAAGTTAAGCATGGTGTTGTTTCTATTATGGATTACCCCATTCCTTAAGAGTCATTAATCTATTAATGGCTGCTACAGTGGGAATTACCTTTTATAGAATTGCGCTATTTAATTTTATTTATTTAGAATTTAAGATTTGTTATAGTTTTTTTTTTTCTTTGATTTTTTTAATTAGCATTTGATTTCAAATTAATATTTTTAATATCAGTATTCTATACATTTTTAGAAGGTCAATGTACGTGGTATTTGATTTTAAATGAATAATTAGAATTCTATGCACAGCACAAAATTGTTATTGTTTTATAACATGACTTGCATTATGTTTTAGATGTAGTGTTTTAGTTTCTTTCTTATGTATTACGATAAAGAAATATGAATTTAAAAAAAAAAAAAAAGATGGAGAAATACGTGTGACCATAATTTTTTTTTCATTTTTGTTTGCGATTTCTCTCTCTCTCTCTCTCTCTCTCTCTCTCTCTCTTTTTTCATTTTACTAGTATATTTTTGTGCATTTAGTTGTTTGCTAAATCACAAACCAATATCATTTTAGTTAATTAAATTATATTTATTCTTATATATTTAACTTGTATCTTACCTTGAAGGCTTTCAACTCGAATTTCATACCAACAAAATTTTTGGATAATCACCTATATTTTATATTACTTTAGAAATAAAATTTTTTTATGATTTTAGTTTTTAATAATTTTATAGTATCTACTTTTTTCCAAAAATATTGAAAGGAAAATTGGTCCAACTTTCAAGAATATCACTTAAACTTTCTTTGATTGAAAATATTCATTTAATCTACTTTGAATATTATAATATTTAAAAAGTTTGATGAGTCAACTTGACTGATGAAGAAAACTATACATGTTTATATAGGAAATTATTGGACAAATAAATCAATTAAAAATCAAATAGCAATTATGCATGAATGACAATAAAAAGAATAAAATCTTTGTCTTGAAACAACTTGCATTAATTAAATTCAAATATAACAGTATACTTTTCTTTGAAACTATCATTATTAAGGAAAATTAAACTTGAAAATTTTGTAAGAAAATGGAATATATAAATATTAATATCTTAATTTCATGCTAAAACATGAAACTAAAGAAAATGATAAACATTGGCATGAAATGTTGAAGAACAGTGAGGCAAAATAATGAGTGTTATTTTTTAATATAATTGAACTATATATCAAAGCATTTCATACATATATTATTATACATTTATTAACCGTAACAAAGAAAAACACTTAAATTATTAATTATTGTTATCACTTTAAATTTTGATCATAAAATCATGTCTAATAACAAGCACATATATATTGAATATGCTTGATTTTTCTTTAATTTTTTAGTATTCAACAATGCAATAAACATGGGGATAAAAAGTGGATGGCACATAAATTAACTTGCACATAATATAGGGCTTTACTATTCTTTTACTTCAATATATATATATATATATAATAAATATATATATGCGTATTAATATGTGATTACGAGCTATAAATATATATAAAATAATAAATATAAATTTTACTTGTTAAATTCATTTTTATAAAAAAAAGTCAAAAGATAAGATTAAATTTTCATATGTAAAAACTTTAACATTTAATGTAGATCATTATTAACAAGATATTTTTGAAATTTCATCAAAAAGTATATACATGAGGATGGAGTTTTTTTTTATTATTATTATTCTAAGATATAAAATTATATTTTTAAAAAAATAAAATTAACTTATCTTTAGTTGATCAAAGTAAACATGAAAAGTTGTACTGATATTTTTACAAAATATGAAAATATATTAAAAATGAAAACAAATTTGAATCTATGCAAAATTTTATCTAAACATATTTTTTATTTTTTATTTAACAACATTTTTAATTGAATATTTGAAGTTCTTTTAAAAAAATAAAAAGATTATTTTATATATATATATATATATATATGAGAGAGAGAGAGAGAGAGATCCACAAAATTAATTTAGTTTTACAAATTTTCATACTTTTTATGCCATTTATATTTAATTAATCAAATTGTTGGATGTCATACTTCATTAATGTATTCATGTAAATCATGCATTGTGAAATTTTGAGTTAATTAAAATTATTTAACTATTTGTTTTGTAATAAAAATTTTCAAATGTTAAATATATATCTTGGTTTATATAATAGAGATATAGGATTGATTTAAAACTTTATATGCATAATAGATATAAGTACATTGATTTGAAAATTTTTAACAATTGAGTTGTTAAAATATTAATCATACTTAAAGCTATAAAAATATCTCAAATTAATTAATTTTATACCTATATAACATATTATATATTATTATACAATGATCATTTATTTATATTTATATATTTATAAAATATAAAAATAACCATGCACCAAATTAATTTTAATAAATACTAAATAAAACGAGGAAAGCGGCAAATTAAAATTGGGAATTGGGTGAGGGACCTGAACTTGGCATGTTGCTCCAGAATTTTGGACAGTATTGCCACTGCCAAGTGAACGGACTTCATAATGAAATTGGGGTCACATATTTTTCATTTTCAACTTTATCTACTAATATTTTCTCAGAAAAAAAAAAAATTAAACACTTTAGCTGATATTATCAATGTTCCCTTGGACTCGGGGAAAAATAATTAGTTGTACAGCTGTACTTTTTCAGTGCTATATGCTTCACTGAAGTTTTATTTTTCTTGCATAAGGATAAGAATTCTATCATTTTTTATATTTTCTTTTGCTCGAATTTATTTAATTATTAAATAATAAAAGTTTAATTAATTTTAAATTTATTTTTAATTGATTCAAATTAAATTTTAATTAAATTATACTCCAACGCAAGTATATGTTAAATATTTTAAATTTATCTTTCATTCTATTATATATTATGTTTGAGATTAATGTATTATTTTATTTTTATTTAAAATAAATAATTATCATTATTTAAAAAAGTTTAATGATAAAAAAATTGATTAAAAAAATAAAAAGGATGAAAAAGGAAAAAAAAAAACCAAAACAAAGTATTTTTATTATTTAAAGTAAAAATTGAACAAATATTAGTTTCACTGATGGAATCCTAATTCCCAATACTAATTACTTTTTTAAGAGAGATAAAAAATGTTTTTCAAGCTAATAAGGATTAAGTTATTTTCAATAAAATGTCTTGGATGATAACTATATTTTTCTTTTTTTAAAATTTTTTTTTATTTTAGCCAATTTCTTTATCACTAAAACTTTTTTCAAGTAAGGGTGACTAATTTAGTTCAAATAAAAACAATTTAATAAATTAATCTAACAGTTAATATATAATTGAATTAAAAATAATTTTAAAATATTTAACATATACTTAAATTAGAATATAATGTAATTAGAATTTAATTTGATATTAATTAAATATAATATTATAATTAATTAAAATTTGATTATTTTTAGTTAAAAAAGTCTTTGGTAAAAGAAAATATAAATATAAATATAAATATAAATAATAAAATATATATTTTTCGTTTAAAATTAATTTAATAAATTACACCTGTTAGTTGTTTGTTTTTTTTACTAAATTTCAATGAACAAAAAAGTTTTTTTTTTTCAACCTAACAACGAATAAGTATATTTTGACATATATAGTTAGTTTAGTATTAATATTATAGATGAAAAACTCGATTTAAAAAAAAAAAATTGAAAAGCACTATAAAAATTTATTGTAAAAAATTATGATTTAAGATTATTGATTAA